GAATACAGACGAATACCCTGCTGTCAAGAAACTGTGAATTCCTGACTCCTGGAAATCCCATGAGTAAACAAAAGGATCCATGTTGGTCCAGGTGAAAAGTCGAAGTACTCCCTTGGTTCTCCACTAAGTCCCAGATGGACCTTGTTGGACATTGGTCATTGGCAGGTGAGGAATGTGGGACAGAAGAGCACCTATCCAGGAATCCATGTCACCTGTCTTGGGGAATTTACTATTCACAAGTACCCCTCACAGACTTCCATCACAGACCACGTGCCCAAAGACTCAGCTTTACATCATCCCATTGAATCAGTTCTCACTCTAAAACCTAGAACCCATTTCCTTGCTGAAGCCCTGCCTCACTTCCAGTCCTATTTCCAGCTCCTCACCCACCTACCTGCCATGCAGGCTAGAACTTGGATTACACAAACACTTGAAGTTGCTATTCTAAATACTGCAACTTGTCTGTCCTGTCTGCTGAACTTTGCCTCTCTGCATTCGACATGTTTTGATTCTGTAGGATTGTGGGTTTTGTTTTATCAACAAGGTGACTATGTTGTTAATTAGCCATTGACTTCTGGGGTCACGGCCTCCATCTGGGCAGGAAATATTCATGGCTCCACAAGTTTCAGGCATCTTGACATTTAGCTGTCATTGTCAATCTGTCGCCCATTCACCACCCCCATCTCTGCAGTGTCTATGCCATGGAAGAATTTCCAGAAGCTAATTGGAGACACCAAATTGTTGGTAGTGTTTTGAGTTGCCTCATCTACCAATTACCTCCCTGGTTTCTTCAGACTATAGCTATCGAAGGGGCCAGAACTCTGATGGAGGAGGAAGCCTGAGGAAGGGCTGACCATTTACTGGCTAATTACACTTGAGCCAGATGGATTCCACTTTCTTGACAGATCCTCTCAGCTTCTGTGCAGTGGTTCTAACTAGTCTTGATTTCCCCCTTATTCTTGTCCCAAGCAACTGATTTTCTTTGTGAAATGTTTTCCTGGTGTTCTCTATACATAGAATTCACAAAGACGTTTATCTTTAACATTGTGGAAAGCCAGTCAAGTTCTGCAAGGCCCTGAGTTGTGGGAGTGAAGGGCACACCTAGATCTGATCCAACAACTACCCATTGTGAAGCAGTTTAGTAGAGGCAATGATGCACATACAGCAGGTGCTCAATAGTCAGGGATGCTCTGTCCACCTGAGTTCTGCATTTTGGACAAGGCTCGGAGATGCAGAGACAGGAGGGAAGAACCTCATGGTGTTTAGAATACTGGCAGTGCATGAAGGCAAAAGGTGCAGAATTTTTGTATTAAACCCAATGGCTTATCGAAGCTGAGGCAGAATGTATGATGGGAAGAAAGACACAACTAAAGAGAAAAAGAAAGCATAGGACCCATAAGAAGAATTTCGTATGCACTGGAGAATGGAAGACCATGCAGCAGTTCCTTGCTTACCCAGTAATGCTGAAAAGCCAAATCATTTAACATCGCCTGTTCCATATTTAATCCAACACTAGCTGTGCACCTGAGTTATTTTTTAATTTGATATTTGAAAATGAATAATATTATTTTGATCAATCTGCCCCAATTCCTCCTCTCAAACTCCTCACATTACCCTCCCCACCAGCATTTCCCACCAATTTCATGTACTCATTTTAAAGCCAGGGTCTTTTTAGCATAGCAAGTATGTGCATGGTGGTAGGGCCATTCACCTGAACACGAACAGCCCATGAGAGGCAAGAGGACCACACCAATGAATTAGTTACCTGAAAGTCAAGTGCCAAAGAGCCTAATGGGAAAATTGCAGCAGGTAGACAAAGTAAACGTTTCCCTTGGAGTGCACTAAGGGATCAGAAGCAGGTCTTCAGATAGTGTGAGAGTACAGTAAGTGGAAGAATGAAGGCTGGGGGACATGTGCACAGCTCAGGCAGGGTGAACAGTGCTCAGATGCTAGAATCTACCCTTTGGTTGTCAAGATTTGCTTCAAAAAATTTCTCAGTTCATAGTTTTGGCTATTAGCTGGTGCTGTATTGTGCGATGGGAAGACTTGAGGAAGGCTATGGAGTGAGGTTGGTAGTTTTAATAAGAGACTCCCTTCTTTATTGTTACAAGCTGCAACATTGTACAGTAATTGCTCAGTCATCTTTTTATGAGTGACTTATCAGAACCAAGGGATCTGGTAAAAGCTAAACCAAAGGCAAGGCTTTTGGCATTATTGCTTTATGTATAAAGTGACTGTTCTTTGCTGTAGACTTTTGCTGTAGCTAACTCCCTTTCTGTTACATATTTGGGAATTAATTCTCTAGTTCAGAGTAGGCCTCTGTTCCTCTCCCCTAAGTAAATGCAGATATTTGCCTTCATGCAATTATCTTTATCAGCAGGAATTAGGGTCCAGGCTTAGAACATCCCATCGAAGATATTCAGAGATCCCCAAGGACATAGAATTACTACCTTGCCCAAGCTGCTGTTCTGGTTTTACCCTACAACCAGAACAGCCAATAACAGCATAGCCCAGAACTGAAAATTTAGAGGCCTAGGACATTTTTTGTTTCTACCACCTAAAGCAAAGTTCCAGATCAAAGCCAATAAAAAATCCAAAGCATCTTGTGTCTGTGCTATGTGATCAAGAGCCATGTGTTTCTCCCTGACTGTTTACATAGGTTGCCTCAGTGCACACTGGGAGAAATGAAGAGGTATGCTGATTAAAACAATCCATGCCCTATTCAAAATTTTACTTAAATTAAAATTTTCTAACCACCTAAAAATGTAGAGTAGCACACTAACCTTCCCCTCTAGAACTCCCTGGTGATGATTTAATGATTTAATTCCTTTCTTAACTAACTTTCTCCATCAAGGAGCTCACGGACGAGTACTAGCCACTCCCACGGACCCACAGATCTCTACCTCTCTCTCTCTCTCTCTCTCTCTCTCTCTCTCTCTCTGTGTGTGTGTGTGTGTGTGTGTGTGTGTGTGTGTGTGTGTGTGAAAACCCTTATATGGTTTCCTATGGGGCAAAAGAATTCTGTCCCCAGAACCTGCTAGGGCTGGGGAATTGCTGGTTTTAAGAATATATATATATATATATATATATATATATATATATATGACTGGGAATGTTTGTAATGGGTAGGTCATGGAAGAACGAGGAGAACTAAGAACAATGAAGAACAAGGAGAACGAGTAACGAGTGGATCAATGAGAAATGATGGATGGAAGAGAGGAGAATAAAGATTTATAAACAGATGATACCTGTTGTGAGTAGATTTCTTACCACTCAGATCTTTACCCTCAGTTTTTTAGCCCCCTTTATCTATTTGTGGTGTCCTTAACTGAGCCCTGTTACTTTATTATGAAATGCATTTCAGGAGTTTTCTGTGGCATCACCATCAAACATTTATAAACATTCCTATTTCCAAATGCATTATGTTTTTCCAGATAGGTGACTTGAACTGGGTATCATGCTAAGAAGATAAATACAATCTGACACTACCACCCCAGGACTCACAGGGTTATAGTAAGGTGCTTTGTCTTTGGGCCACCTTATTGGTATTGTTGGTAAAAGCAGAAAAGCACATAAGAGGGGATTGGAGGTGCCTGCTTTGAATCTTGGGGCTACTGACTACTGTGTTGGGGGCAGTGTAGGAAGGCGAGGTCCTGAGGCTTCCTTTTAAGTCTCTCCAATCTAGAGAGTTTTGCAGCTGTCCCTGTGGTGAGTGTGAGGCAAAGGCTCCTGGATCACCATATCAAGGCACTCCAGCTGTTGAATCCTGATCTCCCAAGCTCCAGAGAACTTGTCTGTGCTTCTACATCCTCTCAACTAGTATGGTCTGAGCATCTGGAGTGAGGGAAACAGTCTAACCAGGAAACTCTGACATGTCAGCAGTACCCAGCTACCTAACAATATAAGGGCAACTGTGTTCAGCCATTCCAGACCTCCTCAAGGAGGTTGACATCAAGAACAGCCACACACTAAACAGTGATGTTAAGCAATCAACCTCACAGGTGGTCTCCAGGCTCTACGGCTTCCCATGTCTCTCTGTAAACCTTGCTCAATCTTAGTCCTTCTTTCAGGAGTCCTGAGCTCTGTGGAGAAAGTTTTTTGTTTACCAACATTTTATTCTCCAGCTGAAGACCAAAGAACTACAATGACTTTACAAATGCTAAGCTTTATCTATAATTGTGAGAACTGAGAATGCTGTCTAGAAAGTTGCTGAGTAAATTCCAAAGTCACACTGACACCAGGGTCATTGAGTAGCTATCAAAAGTCCATCCTCCTGCTGTCCTCAGGACCAGAATTACCTCTGGAAGACGCCATCTCCAAATTCATCACATTGGAGGATGTGGCTTCTGATGAACTTAGAGAGTACATAAGCATTCCTTTTATAACACTGGTATAAATCATGTCGCCTAAGGAATGCCACAGCATTCTTGGTTGTCCTTTGCTTTCATACAATAACAGTTCATTGCCTTCCAAAAGACATGGGATGATTTCTGACAGACCTACCCATGCCCCGGCCCCACCCACTTCCACCACTGTGAAGCCAGTGGGGGATATGGTCTCCTTGGTGCTAGAACAATCAGCAAAATCACCTTTTGGGCTGCAGGGCTGGGGAGATGGGCTCTGGTGCACACTGCCTAGCCAGTCTAATCTAATTGCAGGCTTCAGCTTCAATGGTAGACCCTGTCTTAAAAAGTAATGTGGAGACAACACACACACACACACAAAGGAAGACCAAACACAAAAGGCTGTGGACAGAAGAGAGGAACCTATTTTCATAGCCACACAGGAGGGTAGCAGCCACTGACGCCTGTAAGTTTGGCAAATGGGCTGATATGCTAGGAACAGGCACTATGAGATATTTAGGTCTAGAACTTCAGGCAATAGGCATGGGTTCACCAAGCCAGTAACATTCATAGGATCTCAAAATCAACCACACAGACACAGACTTAGAGTAAAGCACAGTGTTTATAAAAGAAAGATGTACCTTATTTTGTGCAGATATTAATTTCTCACAATTGGATACCCATTTAACATACCCAATGTAACAGGTTTGTAGGGCTACAGAAGAGAGGTGGAAATAAATCAAGATTAAGGCCCCAGAATCCAGAGTAAGGGCATGATGGAATAGTTTTTTCTATATCGCAGTCTGTAGTAGTATTTTTTATCATTATTTTGGAAAGAAAAGTCCCCTGAAATTTTGCTCATAAAGTCTGCTTGCCACATGAAATAGTGTGGGGCAAGCAGGGACCAATGAATACTTGTTATCACATCTGAAGTTGGATGTGCCAGTTTGCTTCTGCAGCATCATTCCTAGCAAAGTGATTGTGCTTTAAAATAACTACAAACTCAATTTGTGAGTAGAGAATAATAATTAACCCACCCTCCCCCCTAAATGGACTCTGTCCACTTTGTGTGTCCCTTTCCCACCCAGACCATGGTGGTCTGTCTTCTGCTTCATCTTCCCCTCATGGATGAGGATGGATGTCCTCTTCAGGATGTAAATAGTGGGGATTTTCTTGGCCAGGAGGCATAAAGTGTGGTCTGTCCTCTCTTCTGTAGTCAGAAGTGGAAAGCTAAAAGTAAATAGGAGGAGGGTGGAAATGTTAAATATTTTGGTAGCATTCTGTGACCCATTTTGTGGTGATAGGACTATCCCTTTATTTCAAGCTAGCGAGCAGTTGACAAATGTCTCTGCAGTAGGGGCTTACAGGGTGCTAGCAGGAGACAGAGACCTGAGAAAGGCATGAGGAATGTCCCATTCTTTCTTCTGGCTGCCTCTGGAAGAAGAGGCCCAGAGTCCCTCCTGATCCAAAAGGAGGAAGCTAGAGGATATCTCTAGCATGTTTATTCTCTTGGCCGTGAAGAAAAGGGTTATTGTCCTTTACTAAATGATGATGTTCTGCAGTGTGGCCCATGGCATTATTCCTTAGCTGCATGAAATTTTCTGAGGTCCCCAGGCCACGGATGTTTGAATCAAGACTTTCAAATGATTGGGGATCACTTACATGTGACCTTGGTGATGGGTACTGTGTCCTTGCAGATGGATGATGTGTTCCTGTCAATGGCTGATTTGTCACTGCCAAAGGTTGTGCTCCTGGTTGATATGGCACTGGTGTTGTTTGATATGACCTTGTTGATGGGCCATGGAGGACTGGAGAGTTATGATTGACATGATCATCCCAGAATCTATAAGAGAAGAAATTTGGAGCAGTGACATAAATCAAAGAATGATGGCTCATGGGAAATTCTCCTGGTCTTCATTAGGGGTTTGGTGCACATTTGTTTTCAGTATAAGAACTTGCCAAAATGTGGCTCAGAATGACCTTGAACTTCTGCCCCACTGCCTGCAGAGCTGGGATGACAGCATTGTGTCATCACACCTAGTTTCTGCTATTCATTCCCTACCTCTTTCTGGAGGCTTTGTAGGCTTGCTGGTCTGAAACCTGCAATGTAGATCAGGATGTCCTCAAACTCACAGACATCTGGCTGCTTCTACTTTCTGAATTCTGGTATTTAAAATTGTGTGCCACCATGTATGGATATCTCTATTTTTTCATTTTTAAATGCTATTTTACTTTTTTAGATTTATTTATTTTGTTTTATGTGTGAAGGTGTTGCCTGTATACATCTAAGTGCACCACATGCAACCTCGTGCCCTCAGAGGGCAGAAGAGGGTTTTTGGGTTTCCTGGAACTGCAGTCATGGTTGTGAACCACTATGTGGGTGCTGAGAACTGAACCCTGGTCCAACTGTTCGTCACCGCTGAGCCACCTCCCTGCTTCTGCAGCTCTTAGCTGGAGCTCCTGAGGTGACATTTCTGTAACTTCCTTTTAACAGCTGTTCATAAAAGTTCTATATGTCTAATCTGTAGATGTGGGCTACTTGACCATTGTTGAACACATACAGTTAGATATGACCCTACATGATCAAACATGTTTTAAATTATTTAAATGAATTAAAATGGCATTTATTATTAAAAAGAGAACTTTCCAAGGTAAAATAAACATAGATGCTGAGCTAAATTACAGCCAATTCACTTGTTTCACCTGGTTTCTTTGGTCCTACATAAATAGTTTCACCATGATTCCTCTCTCTGTGGCCTTGTATATGCTATTCCCTCTGGCTAAATGTGACCATCCCAGGGAGCTGGGGACTCATTAATACCTGAAAGGCACATTTCCTGACATCAAGTCTTGGCTCTTTCCACAATCAAAAGCTTGGGCAATTCAGAGAATGATATAAATGGCAAAACCTCATCAAAGACCCAGAATCTGTACTCTAATCCTTCTTAAGGTAGGCTCTGATGGAGAGAAGCTTCACAAAACATAACATTTTCCCACTTCACATGTCAGTCACCACATATAAAGGCAGATGGAAATTCACATAGCTTTTAGAGACTCTGCTTCAGTAAGACAACATTCATTTAAAAGCACTTATTGGACCTTAATTACATGCTAGGAAGAACCGATTCTTTCTTGTGTTTGAAGTGAGAGACATTATTATTGGGCTAGAATGTGTCCATGCCTTCATGCTATAAGATCCATGGTCAGCCTTGATGTTGCCTGTTCACAGTATGTAACAAACATCTTACATCTACTTCCATGGTTTTCATGGTCAATGCCTTCATTCCAGAGAAGTTGAAGAAGGGGCATGGAATTCAGAAGTTACTCAGCTGTGGACACAAAAGACATCTCTACAAACACCCTGTGCTGAGAGTCTGAACTTAAGCAATGAAGTCAAATGATTTGAAAGTTTTGCTGTGAAATCACTGGCTTTTCGGCTCTCTTATCTAGTCCTTCTGTGTGGAAGACCCTCCATTTCATTAACAGATACTGAGATAGGCACTATATAGGCAGGAACACGGGAAATAGCAGTGGACTCTACCCTTTTCCAAAGTCCACCTGTTTCTTACCTATGGGTCTCATTTCGTGGACACTCAGAGTTTCCATTTCCAAAGAAATTAAAGGGATGCGCTCCCATGTCACTAATAATAGTCACCACCTGCACAAAACCAACAGAGTTATTGTAAAAAGATACAGGTATGCCATACATACATCCCTTGTTGACATCTTAGGCTCTGGCTGCTCCTGTACCTGCTCTTGTGCATGATAAACCTGATTTTCTTGTCCTTGCCCCATTTGTTCCTGTGCCCTTGGTCGTTCAAGTGGCAAGTTATGAAGCATCTCAATATGTTGGACCAACTCATATTCGCATTGTTCTCGTGCCCTTTCCTGCGGGTATCGATGCATCAAAAATAAACATAAAAATATTTGATGACTAAAAAAAGCACCCTCAGAAATGAACAATATTCAAATGAATCCCCAAATAATGGAAGTCTAGTCTTTGTGCACACTGGGCTATAGAGACTACTGTGTGGTTTGGCAGCACACTAGTCACAGACATGCCACTGTATTACAGACCTCTGAGAACCCAGTAAACCTGCACAAGCATATATATGTCATTGAGCCTGTATTCAGGTCTACTTAGTGCAGATATTTTTCATTCTCTGAGGGCAACTCAACTGCAGCCTATGGGGTAGGCTGAGCCAAGCAAACCAAGCCAAACAAACATCTTATGCAAATGAAATCACCTTTCAGTTACAAAAGTAAAAGATACTTGACATACCTCTTCTTCAACTTCTCTGTAAGAAGGAGGTTCATCATTGAAGATTCTACATATATTCAAATCATAGATCTGTGTCCTCATTCGTGGGCCACAGAACTCGGCAAACATTTCCCTCAATATTGGACGCTGGAAGTTAAGTGCTCCTCTTGGCTGTATTTATAAGGACACAAAATTACAAATGTCTTGCTTCTTGTTCATGCCTTTCCTTAGTGCACAAGACACAGTGAAGATGGAGAAAGATTGTTCATCCGAGCCCATAGGAAACCCCAAATTTATAGAAGGCACACTGGACCCTGCTAAGACCTCACTGGGCTCTCCCCAGCTCCTGTACACAGCCTGATTGCAAAACCATTACTGATTATTTTAGGAATTTAAGACCATATCTACACTGAGAGATTAATTGTGTGTTAATCCAAAAAAGAAAAAAAGAAAAAGAAAAACCCAAGACATTTTAGCATAAGTACATCTTCCTAAAGGACAAATGTATTCACATATATTTCATAAATAGTTCAAAAAATTTATGGTATTCCAGAAATCTGTGCAAAGCAAGAAGGGAGAAACATCAAGGCTCATGAACTTGCTGTTGTCACACTCCTGGAGTTAAATTGAAACACCTGTCTTTTTTCATTCTATGAAGATGTTTTTTGAGCATTAACAAATGGAGTATCTGGTTTTAGGGTCAGGAATAAATACACACAATTCCACATAACTGATATAAAGCTCATTTCATATAAAGTTCATTCTATATATTTAAGAATCCTATCTAATATTAAAAATGGTTATCCAAATCAATGTTTTTATCCATAGTCTCAAGGATAGAAAAAATACAGAGTATAAGAGGAGAAACCTAGCTTTGGTGGTGCATGCTGAGGAAAAGGATGGGATTGAGCTGTCAAGAAATCTGTCTTCTTGTGAGATGGTTAACATCACTTCACAAGTGATGAAAAGCAGGACCCTAGGAAATGCTGCATCTTCAGAGCAGCTCAGCATTCCCCTTTCTTCAAATTTTCTAGGGAACAGAAAACATACTTCTATATTTTACAGGATGAAAGCAACACGGATGTTGTATATCTTAGAGGACATCCAACCTCCCTGTTCCGAAAGGTTCTCATCTCTATCTGAAAAGCCAGTACATCACAAACTGTAATATGTTTTTGAAAATACACATCATGTTTTCTGTAGCGTAAACCTGAGCAATCAGAGTTAATTTAAGCTCAAAGATGTTAAAGTCCCCAACAGGAAGAAAAATGAATTTTGAAAGACTTTCAGATGTACCTCAGCTACTGCATAAGATGGCAATTCTGTGCATACCATGGGTTCCACCACTGCCTCTGGGCGCACGGGCTGTGCTACTGGGCTTAGACTCTGTGTGGATGTCTCAGCTGTCTTTTGATGTCCTTGTTCTTGGTCCACGACACGTTCTTGAATCTTTGGGTCTTTTTGGACTTCAGTATCTTCCCCTATTGCACAGGAGTCATCATCCGAAGAAGTATCAGAAACTTCATCAATAGCATGCTCTTTGGGTTTGGAGCCTGTTGCCTCTTCCAAAGGTTTCTTCCCATTCTCATCACTGCATTCTCCATGCTCTGGGGAGGTTTGTTCTTCCTGGCCGTCGCTCAGAAAAAGAAATTCTGGGCCAACATCAAATTCCATGTCTACTGGGTCTAGCCCCTTTTTTGCCTCTATTATAGAATCCTGCTCAGATGTGGAGGCTGAGGAAGGAAATACAGAGGGGAGTGTGAAGATAATGGTAAAATGTGCCAGCTTTGTGCATATGTAACAGGACAGTATGGCTTATTAGTAATATTTCATGGCAACATTCTTTGGGCTCGATTTCAGATATTTGGTATCCTTTAAATAATAAAGCTGAAATAAGTTATAGGCCACTCTGTTAGATGTTGCAATACATCTTTGCTTTAATACCTGAGTAAAGCAATGTGGAAGACAATAATGAAGAATTATGATATCATTTTAAAAATCTACTTGACATACTTCCTATACAACCTGGCAGTCTCACAGTTAGGAGTTTACCAAAGCAAACTGAAAGTTCCACACAAAACTTCTGGGAAAATATTTGTAGAAACGTTATTCATAATTGTCAAATCCTTGAAAGCAACCCAGATGCCCTTCTGCTGATGGATAGATTAAAATCCTGTAGTACATTCATAAAGGGCAATAAGCGGAATGGATCATTGTTTCCTTTTGTGACATGCAAAGTTGTTAACTGTACATTTCTAAGTGTAAGAAGCCAGATGGAAAAGGCGTCACATTACAAACAGGCATAAAATCTAACGGTGTTTTGATTGTGTAACAAGTGGCTTTGGGGGATCATAATAAAAAGGCGAGAATTTCTCTCTTTAGTCCATTCATCTCTGTACTGTTCTTCCAACTCAAATTATTTTAGATTTTGTGACAGGGACTCATGGATCCCAGGATAACCTTGAACTCATTGTGTAGCCAAGAATGGCCTTAAATTTCTGGTACTTATGTCTATACTTCCTGAGTACTGCATTGAAACTTTTCTCTAAGTCCAAAATTATTTCTAAATGAAAAAAATACAAAATATAAACATACGTATCAGGCAGGGTGAGTCACCCAACACCTCACCACAATGATGTGGACCATTATGTTAGTTTCAGAGTCTAAAGTTTAATCAGAATGGAAAACTAAAGTTCCTTGGAAGTTTCAGTGTTCAGAATTTTTACTAAACTTTTTTACTATCAAACAATTCCAAATTATATTTGAACCTTAATAGTCTATTTGCAATTTTTGGTTCCAAATGAAAATCAAATAAATGTCAGTAAGTCATAACAAGGGACCCAGATGCTGCACAATTTCAATGTTTGTTGCTAGATATCTTGATGTGTTCTTTTGACTAGAAAGGACAGCTCTGAGAACTTATCAGAATTTGTCCACAGCTGCTTTAGTAGTAATGATTATAATTCAACAGAACAAACCTACAACATAAATCCAGATGAGTTGGTTAAGAGCAATCACTGCTCAAGTAAACATAAGAAACAATCACAGACACACACACACACACACACACACACACACACAACCAGAACACTATTGTGCTGTTTTCATAGGATAGTTTGAAATGGAGCTCTGAAACTTAGAGAAGTAGTGGAAGTTTTGTTACTAAAAACTACTCAAGCATTAAAACTACATCTGGAATTGAGAAAAAAATAACAAAATACAAGATTAACCACAATACATGAAAATTCCACAGTACAAATCTCTACAATAAGATCCACATGGTAAAAGGATACCTTCCCTTTTCTCCAGTTTTGCAGTTTTTCTATAATACTGTAGTTAGGACTTTGGTGAGGAGGGATTAACCCATTTCACCTCTACTCCCATTCAAATTTTCTGTCTGTAAATCTGTCATCTCAGACTCAGGTTTGCAGGGAACAGGATTGATGGGACTTCTAAGACAAGGTGAAATAAACATCCAGACTCTGTCTCAAAACACCAACAAAAACATGTTGCTACAGTAGAACATACAGATGGACACAAATAATGTTATTTCTTCAAATGATGTCCATCACAATGTTTACAATATTAAAATCAAAGCAAAGTGAATAATACTAACTCAACAGGATTGAGGCTGCAGACTTCTAACTGGGATTTTTAAAGCTTGTAGGAACCCTGATTGCTTGAATCTATGAGAAAATACTTACTTTATTGCTTAGAAATCATCATCTCAAAAAAAAAATTTAAAGAAAACAAGCAAAGCTGAACTTGATAGCTGTGATTTCACACCATTATAAACCAGACACTATCATTATTTTAAACCTTTAAACCACCTCAAAGGTCACTCCATTTATTTAGTTCACATCCAAAGAGCTGGTTGTACCTACTTGCCAATGATAATGCGATGGATTCAAAATCTCCAGATGAGCTTATGCTTGTGCTAATGCTTGTGCTCGTGCTTGTAGCTATACTGATAGTTGTGCATATACTTGATCGAGACGGTGTCCTGACCTGAGATAATTCAAATGGTATTTGCCGAGGGGCTGGTATAACATCTAAAATCTCAACCTGAATTTCCAAAAGAAGATAACACATTTCACTAAGCAGATAGACTAAGACACAAATAAATAGAAACACAGGGAGAACCCTAAACTTTAGATATAACTTTAAACATACTTCAAACAATTGAAAAGCCAACAAAATAATCCTCATGTATATTCTTAAAAATATTGCAATAAGGGGCTAATTTTCAAAGACAGTGAGGCAGTAGCCTATGGTTGATGTTCCCAGAGTTCCTGCACATGCCGAGGATGCTTCAAGCAAGTGAAAGCCAAGTGTGATAGGATTAATATTTTAGGCTGACTAAATGGGATAGTATCAGCAAGAGTCTTTTGTCTGTAGAAAGAAACCCATTGCTGTCAGTTTCCCTAAGACTGCTTGTATTTTAGTCAAATGCTTCTTTAAACCATTTATGGATACTTCTCTGGGGATCAAGCTAATTACTAAGAAACTAGCCTTAAAGACAAAGTTCTCTAAGATTAAAATACAATTTAATGGGACAGGAGAGATGCTCAGTTCTCGAGCACACTGACTGCTCTTCCAGAGGACCTGAGTTTGATTCCCACCAAACACATGGCAGTTCATGCCAATGTGGCAAATATGAGTTTTTGCTCTCTGTGGCATCCCAGCACTGCAAGAATGAGCAGAATATCCTGTGGTTCACTGCAAGGTTATATAAAGCAGCCTACCATCAACTAAAATTGAAAATTAAAAGAACTGTTTCTACAAATAATTTTTGTGTGTCTGTATATACACATGCATAATTTGAGTGCTTGTGCACATGTGAACATGCATTTGGAAGCTACACACAACAATAGTGTTGAGCATCTCACAGTGTTCAAGCTAGTCTTGCTGGACAAGATACCCCAGAGAACTGCCTGTCCTTGCCTCTTCTGCACTGGGATTATATGTACACAGTACTATGGCATTAGGTACACCATAATGAGGTGGGTTCTGGATAATTTCAAGCCTTTATCTTTGCAAGGAAGGCACTTTATGGACTAAGTTATCTCCTCAGACTCTGTTGATCACCATTTTGATGATCTTCACGAAGTAAAAAAAAAAAAATCCCAGACTTTGCCTGTTAAGTTAGGAATTTCCATATTTTATTCCTAATGAGTGGTATAGTTCTATAGTTCTATTTCTTTAACAATCTGATCTGATTTGAATAGCGCATGAACCACTCTTCATATGAAATGTGTTCACCAGTCAAGTCCTGTGCATCTATACCTAAACATTTAGTTTTGTTTCTTGGTGGTAGTTGGTTTGGTTGGGCAGGGTTTGCTTAAGACATAGATCTATGGCAATTTTTACTTTAGAAACTTGTTACTCGGATCATACGAAGCATTTCAACTTCAGGAAATAGGCACAACCTGACTATTCAAGTGTTCTGTGATGCGTACTACTTAATACAATATTAGAAATACGGCAATCTTTTCATTACTTAGAAAGATAATCTGTTGAGTTGATATTAGATGGCTATTCATCTTGATTGATGTCATTTTGTTTAAAGTTCGAGTTGAGTTTTGTCCCCACTCTGTCTTTCATTTTGTTATTTAGTCTTCTAATTTCATCTCTCTCACACTTTTCTGAACAAAATGCTAGGTTCAACGTAAGGCGAAAGTTTTGACTCTGTTGTGCTGGTGTAGAGTATGCTAGCTCGGTGCTTAACACTGGGCAACAACCCAAGTCTGGGAGCATTCTATTTACATATGAGCCCCTTCTTTTGAAAAGGCATTTATTTTTCATTTCACATGTATGAATGTATTGTTTTTGTGGTCTGTACACCATGTATGTATCTAGTACCCACAGAGATCAGAACAAGGCACCCTTCTGTGGTGAGTGCATAATATCACCTAGACTACATGCAAATGGAATAGCAGGAAAGGAAGAACAACTTCACTCGGTACCATTAAGAAATGCCTGTTCTTCTATACCTCTCCTAAAGTTTTATTATAATATTGTATTAGAGTTGAGTTTCAGATCACCAAACGGAAGGCCAGGTCTTAAATTTGATTTAATGTTTATCCTCAATGAATTCACTCCAGTAAACAATGAAGAATGAGTACTGAATGATAAAGATGAAATGCCTTAAGGAAAAGATAGGAACAAAGCTAATTAGAGATCTTGCACTGCCCACAATGGGATGTGTAATACTGTCTAAAGTTTCCTCCTAGAACCCAGTGTAGGAAAAAGATCCATAGACTCCCCTACTGTGTGTGTGTGTGTGTGTGTGTGTGTGTGACACTGGGTGTTATGATCTATAACACTGGGTGTTATGCTCTACCCTTATTCCTTTGAGCACAAACTTCCTGCAGAACCTAGGTCTAGGGCTGGCACTCAACAAGTTCTCTTGTCTCCATGCTCTATAGCAGTGGTTCTCATACTGTGGGACACAACCCCTTTGGCAAACCTCTACCACCAAAAATATTACATTATAGCTGGGCGGTGGTGGCGCACGCCTTTAATCCCAGCACCCGGGAGGCAGAGGCAGGTGGATCTCTGTGAGTTCAAGGCCAGCCTGGTCTACAAGAGCTAGCTCCAGGACAGGAACCAAAAGCTACGGAGAAACCCTGTCTCGAAAATCAAGAAAAACAATTACATTATGACTCATAACAGTAGCAAAATTACAGTTATGAAGTAGCAATGAAAATTTTATGATTGGAGATCACCACAACATGAGGAAATATATTAAAAGGTTGCAACGTTAGAAAGATCAAGAATCACTGCTCTATAGTATAAGGGTTATAAGTGTGAGCAGTCACTCCCAGAAATTTTATGTAGGTGCTGGGGATTTGAATCTGAGTCTTCATGCTCACACAGGAATCTCTTACCCACTGAGCATCTCCCCCATGCCGTGATAAACTTTTCTGAGACAAGGTCTCACTTTTTAGGCCAGGCCCTCCTGGAACTCACTCTATAACAGCCATACTCCCCCCTCGGTGCCCCCAAGTTCTAGCATTACAGGCATAGGCAAGATGCCCAACTTTCAAGCTTTCTTTAGGAAATACAAAATGAAACACTTTCAATGAAGTCTGGAAAGGAGTTTAGCTTGAGGTTTTATTTTAGGTTATCACAGGGACTATTCTAAGCATGGCCGACACTAACAGTAAGAAAAACAACATACTTTAGGACACTGTCATGCTCACAATACAGCTACTGAAATGAAAGTCTTTCTATGTTGGCAATACATATTAACTAAATAATAACATTACAGAGTCAAAGGCCTAGCGACCTACTCAATGGCTGACAATATACATACATCAGAGCTTGATTCAGGACTTTGTGCATTCAAATTTTCAGCCTGGTGCTTTCCTTGAATTTCCTTCCTCTTGCATTGTTTTTGAAGCCTTAATAAAGTCACAAAGAAATCACTATTAAAATGTGTTTTATGTACTGGCTTGGAAGCTTCCTCTCTGACTAGCTTTTATAGTACTGGAAGGGGGTATAGGCTGATGGAGGAAAAATGGGGATGTAACATGAACGGGGCCTGCTTGATGGGGTTTCTGGCCCGTCCAGTACCTTACAGCCGTTTAGCCCCAAAGAAAATCACACAGAGATCTCCATAAGTTATAAAACTGATTGGCCCATTAGCTCAAGCTACATATTAGCTCTTGTAGCTTATATTAACCCATTGTTCTTATCTATGCTAGCCACATAGTTCAGTACCTTTCTCAGCAGGGCAGCTCACATCTTGCTTCTTCGGAGTCTGGGCAGGAGTGGGAGGAATCCACTTCCTCCTTCCCAGAATTTTCCTGTTCTCATTGCATCATTTCTACCTCCTGTCTGGTTTTTTTCACCTATACTTCCTGCCTGGCCAATCAGCGTTTTATTTAAAACATGATCGACAGAATACAGACAATTCTCCCACACCATGGGGGGGGGGGAGTCATCAACAGTCCTAACAGCTGTGAACACTGTGATCAACAGTAATGACTGGCATGGCAAGATATACCCATGTTTGCAATAGTGGCATGAATGTTATGGGGACAACCAATCAATTTCTAAATGGATTGAAGGCCACACTTGCTGTAGGAAATCCTTCAGCCAGTAGCCTTTAAGTTACCAGCACACTTGGTGGTGGGCTTTTATACTATAAATGCCACTGTAAAGCTGGCCCACACACACTCTCTTCTGGCTGCTGGATTCAATTGCTATTTTTCATTCAAGCAGAGGACTGTGATCTGTGAGTCTGCTCCTCAATAAATAACCCTTTATTATGCTCAATTTTGAGCTAGTATTGGATTTCTTTTTAGCATCCATCTTCACACACTACAAGAGAAAAATACATGTCTATAAATGTGACCACAACTAGGGAGCTCACCAGGCCCAAGGGTGAATCTACTTGCCACTATTTTGTTAAATGGATAAAGTATAAAACCACCCTCTAAGTTCTTATCTTTATGCCCATGGCTTAGTATAGCTCTCAGAACTCATCAAAGAAGTTTAACATAGAAACTCACAGCTCATCAAAGTACAAAGCGTAAGTGTTACTGGAGTATTTATGTCTACATGGTACAACTATATGACCCCCTGCCACACAAAGCTTAAGGACTATTGCAGAAGGTATGGCAAGAAGTCTAAGAACCCGAAATCAAGGAGAAAACAGTGTCATCTTTACCATGACAGGATCATTGCACACATGAACTCATGGTGGTTGTATGGCCTTCATGAGACCTACATGAAATCAGGCCAGTCAACATCCCAGCATGGAGTGGGAAAGGACTCATAAGCCTTTATTCCTAACTTGGGGAGCTTTTGACAGTTGGTGGCTTCTGGGGAAGGAAGCATCCATTGGTAGGTTGATCAAGTTTTAGTGGATGGCCACAAATCCATGAGTATGTAGCCAGCACAAATCAGACTCAGTGGAATATATAAAACAAAAGAGGCCATGAAGTTGGAAGAGGGAGGGGTGGAATGTGAGGGAATGGATCTAGGAAGAGTTATGAAGAGAAGTTGGGGGTAAATATTATCTAAACACATTGTGTGAAATTCTCAAAAAATTAATAAGAATATATCAAAATCTATTTTATATTAATGGTAGCTAAGTATGGAGATGTCATAATGTAAACCCCACTACTTTGTATACCTAACTTTAAAATGTACTGTGTTTTAGGATGAGAGGTGTGATTCAGTGAAAGAACACTGGGCCAATATATGTATAAAATCCTGGTTAACCTTAATGTTGTAAAACACACAAACACAAAAGGCAGTGTTTTGTTTGATAGGCCAAAGAACAGAAAAATCCCATCACTTCAAAATATGAGAGGCTGAAACATATTAATAAATGACTTGAAACCGGGCGGTGGTGGCACATGCCTTTAATCCCAGCACTCAGGAGGCAGAGGCAGGCGGATCTCTGTGAGTTTGAAGTCAGCCTGGTCTACAAGAGCTAGTTCCAGGACAGGAACCAAAAGCTACGGAGAAACCCTGTCTCAAAAAATCCAAAAAAATTAAAAAAAAATGACTTGAAAAAACCAAAACAATAAAAATAAAAAACAAGATATCCAGCATAATCTAGCAATGGAAAATCAACCAAAGCATAAAAACCTCATACAGATATTCACACTTATATTTATATACCTTAACAAATCTTTGAAAAGAACTTAATAAAATTCAATATATTTTTATCAATATCATGGTAAAATTATTTGAAAACTAGACCCATTTTGATATGCTTATGTGTGTAAGGAATCTAAAACTCACCAAAAAGCCATTAGAATAGATAAAATCAGCAATATTGCATAATGCAAACTAACACACAAAATCAGCTGCATTTCTACAGACTAACAGAAAACAATCTGAAAAGGACTTTATCATCCCATTTAGAAATGTGTCAATAAACATAAAATTATTAGCAATAAGAAACCCTAACAGAAGATTCATACGGGGCTGGAAGACTTAATGCTGTTAAAATATCTGTTTTATTCAATTGAAACTATAGATTTAGTGGAATTAATATCTTATTGACATTTTTTACAGAAATTAAAAATAAATTCTATATTCACAAAGAACAAAAAAACAAGATATCCTAACAGACTATATGGTGAATGACTGCTGGGACATGCTGAATTCATTCTGAGGAGATAATATAGAAAAATGCAAGTTAATGAGTCATTGCATCGTTTGAATATATGATTTGAACATGAAATGCTCAATATTTACTCTTTCTCATTGTATTTCCATTGTGAAAGAATTTAAACAGAAACAAAGTCATGCATTATTTACAATACCTAAATACTTGAAGTATGATTAATAAAAACTCAGTGACAGAAATTAAGGTTCAACCTGAAGGTCAGAAAAGCAAAAGAGCCAGTCACTGGCTCTTACCTCTCCTTCAGTCTGAAATGGTGATCCTGCCTCCAGAAACCTCAGAATGAGACTGACACTGAGAACTGTCTCCTCCTGTTTTATATTCTTCTCTAGGGCTGGGATTAAGGGCATGCACCACTACTGCCTGGTTTCTATGGCAAGTTAGTGTGGCTACTGGGATTAAAGGTGTGTGTCGCCACTGTCTGGTCTGGAAGGCTGGCCGGCGTGGCTGTTTTACTTTCCTGATCTTCAGACAAGCTTTACTTATTGAAATACAAATGAAATGTCACTATGAATACCTAAAATTCCAAGACAACAAACATACACACACATATACGTATGTATGTACATATATACACACATATATGTTGATTTGGGGGGAGGAAGGATCTGAAGTATCTCAGACTAGCCTTAAACTCAGTATGTTACCAAAGATGACCTTAAAATTCTGATCTAGGGACTGGAGGGATGACTGAACAGTTAAGAACACTGGTTGTTTTTCCAGAGGACCTGGGTTCAATTCCCAGCACCCACATGGCAACCCACAATTGTCTGTAACTCCAGTTCCAGCATATATCACAACCCTTCTGGACTCCATGGGTATTGCATACATGTGGTACACAGACATACATGCAGGCAAAACACAGACACATAATTTTTAAAAATTGGTCTGCCTGCCACCAGCTCTTGAGTCTGCTATTACAGGCATGTACTATCAACTACTCTATGTTTATGCTAGGCAAGCACTCTATGACCTGAGCTACATTCCCAGCCCCAGGGAAAACATTTTTAGATCAAATTTGCATTTCATACAATTCAATTAAAGCTTTTAATTCAATGATTTCTGGCAGATTCAGATCATACAATGACTGGAATAATTTTAGTTCCCTTGAGGTTTTTTGATCCTTTTGCATTTATATATTTACTTATATGCTAGTGATTGAACTCAGGGCTTTGCAGTTGCTGGGCAAAGCACTAAGATAAATCTCCAACCCAAGAGAGTTTAGGAACATTTTGTATCTCAGAAAAAAATTATACTGCTCTAACAATCCTTCCTCTCTGTTCCCATCCGCACACAATACCTGGCCAGAGGCAACCACTAATCCACTTTCAGTCAGAAGAGGAATTCAAAAGTCTGTCTTGATGGGCTTTGGGAGCTTCAGGTTGTAAGTCCAACAGACAACTGTACTAGACCCAGACTCCTCCTTTCTCTCATTTTAAACCAACCATTGAAGACTGAAAACTTCATGTCATCCCCAACTTTTTCTCAATGCAGTGCCTTGGCTGCAGAATATTGTTATCCATCTGTTCCCAACTGTGATTTTTTTAAAGTAGTAAGTAGACTTTTCTTAAAAACTTAAGGCAACTTTTTTGCCTCCAAATTGTCTTGCAGACTGTACATGGTGGCACATGCCTTTAACCCCAGCAGTTGGGAGGCAGAAGCAGGAGAGTCTCTGTGAGTTCCAGGTCAGCTAGTCTACAGAGTGAGTTTCAGGACAGCCAGGATAACTCTGAGCTACTGCTTCTCCTTACTCTATATCCAAAATGCTATCATGTCTACTTTCAATATTCCTATTTTAAAAAAATATTTATTCATTTTGTGTATGTATGCATGTGTTCATTCATGTATATCATTTGTGTGACAGACTGAGGAAAACTTTCAAGAACTAGGCCTCTCTTTCTACCAAGTGGGTCCTAGGGGTTGGGCTCACATCCTCAGATGTATATTGTATGGTTTTTTTCTAGGACCATTATTGGATCACTCTAGAAAATAATGGAACAGACACTGGTTACTTGATTACTTACATATGTTAAAATACACAGATCTGGGAGCTTGAAGTGGTGGTGTATACAAATGCACATACAAATATAAGATAGATAGATAGATAGATAGATAGATAGATAGATAGATAGATAGATAGATAGATAGATAGATGATAGATGGATAGAGATAGGCAAGAAAAACTGCACTTTTCAAGAGAATTAAAATATTTTAAAAATTAAAAAGGCTATCATCTGTATTTTGTTTGAAAAATATAAATTATATTAAATGATAAGGTAGGTTAAACCAACAGATTGGTCATTTTAGATTCATTAAAATTCTTAGATGATCTTTCTATTGTTTTGGTTTTATTTAGTAAAAAAAAAAAGTAAGTTTCAGCTCTGCATTACTTACAGCCATGATACCTCTTACCTTTCGCACTGTGTATTATTGTCATCATCTGAATCAATGACTATAACAGGAGGTTGAATTGCAGCAGGTTGTTCCTGAAGAAAATTAAGCATATTGGTTTC